GGTCCTGAGTGAATTATCAATTACCAGGCAGACTACCAAATACTAAGTGAAAGATTTAAAAAATATGGCTTATGTTCTTGCTCATCCTCTTTTTCTATTTCTTGCTCTTTTTCAGGCTCCTTCTCGGGTTCCTGCTCACGCTCTCTATCTCCTCCTGAATTTAATTCCTTATTCATTTCTTCTTCGTTTTCTTGTTCCAAAGTTTCTAATTCTTCTGTTTCAACCTCGTTTTCTAATTTTTCTTGGTCAATTTCCTGGATGATAGTTTCACCTTTTTTAATTTTAGTTTCTCGGGTAATTCTTTCAGTCTCTAAAGTAATAGTTCCTGTATTTCCTTGAGCTTCAAAAATAACTTTACCTCCTTGTTCAGGAATGGTGCAGGTTTGCTCTCCGCTACCCCTGGTTTTTAAAACTAACCTACCTCCCGAAGTAAAATTGTAAGTTTGAGAAAAGTTGTAATTAGGATCTCCATGAGAACCACCTCCACATAAACAACCTAAGCAATCTCTTCCTCCCGCTCCTCAGTCGGTTGGGTGAACTCGGTGTCCCATTTGCTGCCAAATATTAGCATCGGGAGAGCCAATGTAATCAACAATACTATAATCGGCATTAGTCATGTCGGCTGTCATTAAAGTTTCCCTTATTTGTTCCCTCTTTTCGATTACTTCTTCTTCGGCTTGATAAGTAGAAAAAGCATTGCTTCCTATCTGAACATGACTAGTAGCATGGGCAAACCTTAAATCGGGATTAGTTAAATCTTTACCATCATCTAATCAGTAGCCTCGTTGCATAAGGTTAGTGAAAAAGTTCTCGGCATCTTCTCTCAAGAGTACTTCTTTTCATTTTCAATAACCAGGTTTTTGGGTTCAAGTTCCTAGCTCCTTTCATTGAAAAGGTAAATTGATAAGAGGACTTTTATTGTTGGCTCAATCTAATCTGTTTTTTTAGCAACTCACTAATTTCACACCGATAATAAAATAGAGGAGTAGTATAACGATTAAGGAATTCTCCAAAAGAATAGTGAAAATCAATTGTATTGGCATTAAACATGGCTGGTTCAACAGATTTATCTAAAACATCCTTAAAAGTGCTCTTAAACATTCTTTCGGTATGGGCTTCTTGTTCAGGACTAGGATCTTTATTTTGCTTTGCTTGTCCTGCTCCTTTTAGATTTTCACCATTTCAATTTAAGCCAAAGCCAAATCCTCCTCCTGTTCCTAATGCTCCTCCTTCAATCTTAAAATTAAATCCTCCTAATAACTTCATCGGATGAGTTCAGTCATCAAAACCTTCAGTATTGCTAATTTCTAGTTTGACATAAATAAAACCAAATTGTCAACGATAATATAAAGCACCAGGAGCATAATTAATAAAGAGTTTATAAGGGAGAATAAATTTTCCATTTCTTTCAATTATTCCTAAATACCGACCATTAGCCGTCATGGTTATCTTATCAAAAAGATAAAATTGAAAAGTAGTATGGTCTCATAAATGAGGTTGTTCTTTTAGTCATTTAGTAAAAGTAGGATTTCTAGGAAATAGTTCTTCTTCATATTCTTTGAAATCATTGAAAAAGCTACTTCTAGTAGGATTTTGCATCTCTTCAGGTCCAATTGTCAACACTAATTTAGAATTAAAAATGCTTTCGGCAGCAGCTCTTATTGGTCTTTCAGCTCCCGTGATGGCTCCCAAAGTCAACAATGCTCTTAAAGCCTGGTAGTTATCCATTCAATTAAAAGTATCACCAGTAAATTTTTCTAAGTAAACATCAGTGGGAAGTTTTAAACCTTCTTTTTCTCCCCAGGAAATATTCCGACGGCCAGTAACTCAATCAGTTACTAATTTTCCTCTAAATAACTGAAATTTAGGTTGATAACTCAAAAAAGCTTGTTGCTCAATTTTTTTAATTCCTAAATCTCCACAAAAAGAATAATGCATTCTTTGATTGTCTTCTCACTTATCACTAGTTACCTTAATAAGGTTGCCTTGTTCAACAATTCCTTTTCCAGCTATATTTAGTCATTTTGGGTATCTTATAAAAACTGGACAAGCTTTAGCTGTAATTTTCACAGTTAGCTTATAGTTATTAACATAGGTAAAATTAGTAATCCAATAAAGTTTTTTTCTTCACAACAAGCAAATATCAGCTCTTGACAAATCATAAGAAATGGTTTGGGAGTTTTCTTCTTTTGACTTACCTTTCTTTGTGATTAGTTTTTCTCACTCCTCTAGTTCTTCTTCATATATGTCCCGAGCTAACCACTGGGAAAATTCTTCGTATTTAGTAAACTTAAAAGATTCTGCTAGGCTGTTCTGGTAATCACTTATTTGATTAGCATTTAGTTCTAAAGTTGGTTGATTATATTCTTGCCTAATTTTTTTTCTAATTTTTCCTAGTATTTCCTTTTCTTTTTCTTCTATTATTCGTTTTTCACCAAAAAAATTCTGGGTATAAAGGGTAATAGAATTATTTTCGTTTCAAATTATTTTACAATTATACTCGGAAAATTCAGTTTCTTTTATTCAATTAGTAGCTTCTTTTCATCTCTTTCAATGGGGTAGTCAAGTATATTCTTTAGTCCAGTAAGGTTTATTGTTCCTATCTTTAAACTCAATAATAGTTATCTTCTGATTTCAATGTTCAGGGTTAGCTCGAACATCTCGGCCTTCTATGATATAATTTGCTGCTATATTTGTCATACTACTTAGTTATCATTACTTTGGGCTTGCTAAAACCAAAGTTAGGTCAATTTAAAGAAGGGAGAGTAACTACACTATCCCCGAGTTCATTCTCAGTTCTTATTCGGATGAGGGAAATCTTTTGTCCCTGGTCGTAGGTAAATATCCAACGGGTAGGGGTTTCTTCGAGGTTAGTGTAGTTGGTAAAGTTGGCAATGGGCTGATTTATTTCCTCACTGGCATAGCCCCGCAGGGTTTTAAATATGGTCTCCATATTAGCATTAGTTTGTCGATAACCTCATTCTTCGGTGATCAGGTATTTACAAAAATCCTCAGCTAATTGTTCGGCATAATGGCTGGTGTCAGCATCACTTTGTAGTTTTCGCTTTAAAGTATTTAGGACATACTGGAGCCTTTGCGGATAGGTGGCTAATTCAATGTGCACCATCTCGGCTCGGTTTTGCACGAAGTCGGGCACTTGGTCAGCATAATTAGCAGTGCATAAGAGAATACAATCCGATAAGTCTACTCGGTAGCCGAGGAATTGGTCGTATCAGTCCTTATTTTTCTTAATGTCTAAAACATTCCCCATCATATTGGCTAAGCCTTCGTCTCGCACTTTCTCAAACTCATCTAAAAGCACAATGGCTCCTCTATTTTTACTGATACTAATTCCCGAGCAGAGACGGCCGGGGTAAGCAGCTTTGATGCTGGGGCTAACTCCTTCTAAAATGCCGGTATCAGTTCGGCCTCCGAGGTCAATGTTAATGAGGGGCCTTTCCATTCCTTCAGCCACCTTTTCACTAATGTAGGATTTACCAATGCCCGGAGGTCCTAGCAGGACATAAATGGTTTGTTCAGTTTTCTTACCGGATTTAATGTCTTTAGCTAGGTTTACTAAATACATACGCATTTTGTTTTTGAATTCCTCGTAGCCGACGACTTGGTTCATTATTTCGTTGAACTTGGTTAAAGAAGGAACATTTAAGTCTTTGGTTCAGGCTGCAATTAATCCTTCGGCTAGTTCTTTT